GAGCTCCGCTGCTGCCGCCGCCCGCCGCCGCCGCCGCGCTCAAGTTTCACCCGGTGACGGCGCTAAGAATAAACGCGCAGCTGGCGGAGCCGGGAGCCGCCGCGAAAGCGCCGTGGAGCAGCCGCGGAGCCGGGGCCCCCGCGCCGCCCGCCGGCAGCGCGCCCGCCTTCTGAAGGGCACACGGCCGCCGCCTCACTCACCGTCCGGTGTCGCTGCTGCTGCTGACGGCGCCGGCCCAGCGCCGGGAAGCGGCTGGCGGCGGCGGTGAGCGCGGCGGGGCGGCGGCCGCAGAACAGGAGCGGCAGCGCTCTGCCCGCCGTGGCCGCCATCGCACCGCTGGAGCCGCCCCACGCTGCGGCGGCGGCGGTGGCGGCGGCGGCGGTGCTGAAGCCGCCCGGGCGGGGCGGGGCGGGGCGGGGCGGGCGCGCGGGGAGCGGCGGGGCGGGGCCGGCCGGCGCCGCTGGCCAATCGCAGCTCCCCTCCGGCCGGCCTCTGGGCCGGCGCAGCCAATCGGCGCCGAGCAGGTGGGCGGCCCGGAGAGGCGATTGGTCGGTGGGCGGGGCCACGCGCGGGCCCGAGGGCAGGGAAACTCCTCGACGGGGGTGCCGCGGGGCGGGGCCAATGGGGGCGTGGCCAACAATGGGCGTGGCTGGGAGTGGAAAGAGGGGGCGCGGGGGGAGCCCTAAGGGGGGAACAGCCAGGGACGGGATGTTGGGAGATGGGGAGCACCGGGAAAGGGGTGCAGGGAGGTGGGATGCACTAAGGAAGGGGTGCCGGGAGATGGGGAGCACTGGGGAAAGAGACCACCAGGGAGAGGCTGCAGGAAAGTGGGGTGCAGCAAAAATACCACCACAGCCCTGGGAATGCAGTGTGGGGGTGGTGCAGGGATTTGGGGCGCTGGGTCAGACTGGCACCCCACTCAGCAGCAGTTTCAATGAAGGGGAAGAAAAGTACGTGATCAAAAAGTATCTGAATATGCACATATAAATGTATATATATGTATGAGATGTGGTGGGCTGGGCTACCAGCATAGACCTCGCAGCACCTGGGCTAAATAAGCAATCTGTGCTCAGCTTTCTCTTGAAAGACGATGTACCTGGATTACTCAGAAAAGACTTCTTCCTCTGGCCTGGGAGTTACTACAAAACCGATGGCAGCTCCTTCTTAATTCCTGTTATTTACCCCGCTGTGTTTCTAAAAATACGGAGAGGAGCACGACCAAGTCATGGGATGACACAGATGTGCTTCAGCATCACCCACACCATCACAGCTCTCCTTTTTCCATCCCCACCTCCCTCCAGTGCTGCCTTCCACAAGTCCTGATGGGTTGTTCTAAGCTTTTCTCCAAGCAATGTTCATTTTGGAGTTTGTCCCTGAGACATTCTCCATCTCAGTCCTCATTTCTGGCTGGATTTTCCTGCAGGGATGAGCTTTCCCTTCTTTACTGGTTGGGAAAACGTGGTTGAAGCCTCGACTGCATCCTTCTGGAAGGATTTACCCACTGTCTTTCCAACTCCACACATTTAGCATTTCAGTGATTATTTGCATTTTCTTGGAAAATCAAGGAGACAAATTGCAGCAGCAGCTGCTCCCAAGCTTCACTGCTCAGACAGGAGAGAGTCTTTGCTTGATCCCTGCTTGTTGTATTTCCCTCTCCTGTCATGTTGAAAACCAATGGCGAAAGGAAAAATGCTTCAAAACAAGGATTTCGAGTAGCCAAGCCCTCGGCGATGACTCCACAGTGGAAGATGTTCCCACGCACATCTCGGCAAAGGAGTCACCTCATGGACCACAGCCAGGGTTTCCCTCTCTGCAACATCAGCCTCTCCCTGGGACAGCTCCCAGCATCCCAGCACGCTGGGATTAAAAGCCTAAAAATGGCAAAACTGTGGTGAATGCAGCCTGGGTGAGGTAGAAAATAGAGATTAGAAAGGCAGGAAAGGGGGAGGAAGGAAGCTCCAGGATGGGGAAGGTCCCTTGGGGGCAGAGCCACCTCTTTTCACCATGAACTACCCACCCCTAAACCTCTTTTTACCTGGGTGAGCACAGATGGGCTCAGGATGTCCTCCTCATGGGATTTCCTACAGGGATCGCTGTCAGCAGCTCCGAGGGAGGACAGGGATGGGCACAGCAAGCAGACCCTGCCCCAACTCTCTCCTACTCCCTACTCCTTCAGCCATTCATATTCTGTATTTAGATATTTATTTATCATTAAAGAGGAGCCAGGAATGACCAAAAGTAAAATTTTTGTCAGTTTATACATTTCCAGGGAATATTTGACAGAGGTGGGGGAAGATGGACTTTGAGCAAAGGCTGAGGGCAGCAGAAAGGCCAAAAATTCATTAGCAAACCCGTGCTGAGTGTGTGGGCACCCATTACAAAGCACAAAAATGGGAATTAAATGTGAGCCCTGAGATCAATACCCCAGGCAATAAAACGAGCCAGCAGGGAATGGCTCCCCAAGGCGCAGGGAGAGAGAAAGGGGTGAGGATATTGGCACCAAAATGAAACCCTGTCGTTTTAGGTCAAATAGCTCCTGCTAGAAGCATCTTCCACTCTTGGAAAACCTAAAGAAAAGAATGTATTTAACAAAGCTTTCTCCTGGTGCTTATAATGACAGCTGGCTGAATATTGGAAAGCTGCTCCCGAGAAGAATTGCTGGAGAAAAGCACACCAGCGTTTGCAATTAATATTATTGCAGTGCTTTCCTTCAGGAAAGGCTGAAGTGGAAAACTTAAGCTTCAAACCCTCATCAACCATCCCGACACTGCCGAGAGAAGCATGGATTGTTCCCTCCTGCAAATAAAACACTGATGTAAGGGAAAGTGAGTGTGTGATAAGCCATAAGCAAAGCCATCACTTTGGAAAACCTGCTCACGCCCCAAAGTGCTTGGATTAAATAAGTCAGCTAAGAAGAAAAAACCCTAAATTATTTTTTTAGCCCATTCATTCATCATTTTCTCCTTGTTAAATTTTGGATTAGCCAGTTTTACTCCTACAGATGTCCAGGGCTGTGATACAGCAGAATCGGGCCCATGGAGATTGATGCAAAACCCTGCAGGTGCATCAGGCATGGGTGGATGAGGATATTCAGGAGGATCCCAGGTTCAAGTGCATTTTATCTCCTTTTATTTAGAAGAAAGGTTGGTGTTTCCAGGTGACTGCCGATAAAACAGCACAGCCCTAAGATGGGGGACAGTGTCTGCTTTGCCAATAAAGGACTGGTGTTGGTCACCATGAGCACTGCCCAGCTTCTCCTGGAGCAATAGGACAGGGGGGGAAAATTCACCTGGACTGGGCAGGATGGCGATTCCTGTCTCATCACAACTCAGACCTGAGTTACCCAAACATGCCAGTGTTTGCCGGCTCCTTCTCCCACCCCTTTTTGGGATCTGGAGATGGCCAGACCTCCACCCCAAAGAGACCCTTCTAAGCCTCTGGGATCCCCTTAAGCCTCGCCAAAAGGTTCATCCTAAAAATCCTCACAGTGTTCCTACTGTGGGAGGGCAGAGTCAGGATTCAGCAACCTCCTGGATTCCTCAAGAGCAATCACTTTCTATTTATGCCTCTGGAAAATGTGTTTTTTAATGGGGGGTAGGTACATTAAAGCCTGAGGAGAGCCAGCCTAAGAGGCAACTGGAAGTAACTATAATTAAAATACCTAAAATTAGCCTCCTCAGCAGTGAATCCTCCCTCTGATCTAGATGCCGAGGTGCACATGACCCAGGCATGCCTCTCTCACTTTCACTTCCCGCTGTCATCCTATTCCTGGGCCACTGGGCACGGCTGCAGCTGCTGCCACACCTACCCAGGAGAATGAAGGAATTCCTCCCTGGGAGGGTGGGCAGGCCCTGGCACAGGGTGCCCAGAGCAGCTGGGGCTGCCCCTGGATCCCTGGAAGTGTCCAAGGCCAGGTTGGACAGGGCTTGGAGCAATCTGGGATAGTGGGAGGTGTCCCTGGCCATGGCAGAACAAGATGATCTTTAAGATCCTTTCCAATCACTTAACATTCTATGGTTCTATGAATATATAGCTATACAAAAGCCCCTGAGACCCCATATACCACTCTCTCAGGCCCTACACACAAGCCCTGCAGCCCTGCTATCCAGGACCTATAGAGACATTCCTTGTATAGTATGTATGTATGTGTGTATATGTAGTATATATAAGGCCATCCAGGACCTATAGATATGGGCCCCTGAGACTCTATATACAGGCATTTCAGAGCATATATATTTATCTATACATCATAGATAGATAGGCCCCTGAGACTCTATATACAGACCTTTCCAAATATATATATATATATATATATCTAGTATGTATATAGGTTCCTCAGATCTCATCTACAGGCCTTTCAGAGCCTCTGTCTATCTGGGCCCCTGAGACACTATATACAGACCTCTCAGAACCTATATATATATGTAAAATATAGGCCCCTCAGAGCCTATACACAGCCCCTTCAGAGCCTCTGTCTATCTGGGCCTCTTAGACCCTATATATAGACCTTTCAGACTATATATAGGATGACCCCTCAGACCTTACATACAGGCCACAAAGAACCCATATACACACACACACACACACACACACACA